GTTCCCGGCCAATGAGAGCAGCTGAGCTGGCGCTGGGGGCAGGGGCAGCGCACACAGCCCCGGTGGCTGTCCCTCTACCTAGAAGCCAGAGGGAGATGCAGGCAGCTTCCTGGGAGCCACGCGGCCGCCAACCGGACTTTTAACGGCCTGACAGGAGCTGTCAGGGTGCCTTAACCCTGCCGCCTTTCCATGAGCCGTTTCCTCACCTTCTGGCCCTCACCTCCCTTCTCCCCAGAGTAACCGTGGGCTCCGTGTTTCTATAGCTCCCGACTCACTTCCCTTCCCCCAGGAGTGACTGCAGCCCCCTCTGCTTCCACTCTCCTAGAAGAAGATAGATTAGGGTTGGAAGAGATCTCAGGAGGTCATCTAGTCCCACCCCCTGCTCAAAGCAGGACCAACACCAACTAAATCATCCCAGCCAGGGCTTTGTCAAGCCTGACCTTAAAAAAGGATGGAGATTCCACCAGCTCCCTAGGGAACCCATTCCAGTGCTTCACCCCTCTCGCCCCCCCGTGAAATAGTGTTTCCTAATATCCAGCCTAGATCTCCCCCACTGCAACTGGAGACCATTGCTCCTTGTTCTGTCATCTGCTACCTCTGAGAGCAGCCGAGCTCCATCCTCTTTGGAACCCCCCAGTTGAAAGCAGCTATCAAATCCCACCTCATTCTGCTCTTCTGCAGACTAAACAAGCCCAGTTCCCTCAGCCTCTTCTCATAAGTCATGTGCCCCAGCCCCCGACCCTGTCTTTATACAAGCCCTGCCTGCTCCCCACAGGTGAGCTCCCCAATCAGGGCTTTCCTCCAGGCCTGATTTGCCCAGATTGCAGACAACTGGCCCAATCCAGCTCTTGCAGGGCCAGCGTGGGGAGCTCACCCCGCCACAGGCTAGTGCAGGTTCCCACGCTGGCACGTTTCACTAGCTCTGCACTGAGAGGAGCAGGGGGCTCAACAGAAGCAATGTACGCTGCTCTCTTTGGTGGGCAGCCCTGGCGTGTGGAGTGTGTGATAACTGGTTATATAGTGCAGGGGAACGTGTCTTCTTCATCCCTAACTCACAACTGGTGTGGAGAGAGACTTTGCTCCCCGGGCTGGTGACTCCATCTTCCACCTAACACCAGCTTCTGGCCTCAGAGAGACTTCTGCTTTTCTGCTCAAGCCCTCTGTCGCTGCAGAGGATCGGGCAAAGGCAGAGTCCATTACATGTTGGCCCAGTGATCCAGTTCATGGTCTTCTCCTCTCAAAGGTTGCCCCACAACCCATTTCAGCCGAGCAGCAACATTCAGGTTCTGCTCTTCGTGGCAATACCCAGACTTCATTCCAGGTGGAGGTCCAAACCCGTTTCCGGCTCTTTTTCCAATTGTATGGGAATGACACAGTGACACACGCATTAACTGACTAGTGAACTGCTTTCACGGCTGATTCTCACAAGTGAACCTGGCCTGGATTTTCTTGTCCTCATAAGAAGAGACTCCAGGGAGCCAGATGTCATACTGACCAGTGACAGCCAGACAACACAATGGGCCAAACCCAGCCCTGCAGCAACTGCGGAGCTCCACGGCAGACCAAACCCGAGCTCCAAGTGCCACCTTTGTGCCTTAGTTGACAGACAGGGGTCAGATTCAGCCCTGGTGTAGGGCAGCCTTGGGCCCATAGCCTGAATCCAACCAAGGCGCAGCACCCCACAGCAGTGTCTTGTGTGGTCTGAATGTGTCAGAACCACGCTGTCCCCAGAAAGCAGTCTGCCCTGTCCCCCACGGCCCCCTCTGCCATTGCAGCTCTTCCATGCCCCACAGAGAAGCGTCTGTGCTCCGAGAGCCTGCACAAGGGTCCCGCCGTGTTCGGGAGCAAAGCTAACAAACTATGGGGAAAAACACACTATTGGCCCCAGCTGCCAGCACAGCCTGGCCATGCCGCCTGACAGCCCTGCCCGACTGAGTCTAGCGCTCTGGAAGGAGAAGCTGCCCCACGCAGTCACGGTCCACCCTGCTTCCCTTCGGCTGGGCCAGGGAGACAGCCCCACCGCATGAACTGCACTGTAGCCCTGGTGACCCAGTCCAGCCACGGGCCCCCGCCCTGCTCCCCCATCATGCTTGAGAGACCAGGCCCTGGCCCCAAGGAGGCGAGACAGCTTGGGTTCGCAGACTGGTTACCAACGAGGGTTTTTAACTGGTCTGACAATCCCAGTCCTCGGCACACCGTGTCCTGGGTCTTAGCCCTGTCCGGTTCTCCTCAGCTCACCCCAACCCGCAGCGTCTGAGCTGGTCAGAGTGCTGGGCCATTGTAGGTTAAGTCCCAATTGTATTATCTCTCTTCAATCTGGGTTTGCTGGCTACACTGAGGGTAGCCGCTGTCACGGGGCCAGGCACCATCAGACGCAGATCAAATCGAATCAGATCTGGAGAGGCCAGTGCTGTAGTCACCTAGTTTCCCCACTGTGGGGGGGGAAAGTATAGATCTCATTTGCATATGCAAATGACCACCCATAATGCATTCTGCCAGGGCCACCTCCGGCACACACACATAGGTGTGTCAGGAAGTGCATGTCACTCCTAAGGGTCCCCTCCCCACAGCTGCTCCCTTGGGGTTTCCATTGACTACCCCTCAATGGTATCAGTGGGCAGAGGCACAGTGAGCAGGAGGCCAGTGGGGTGTGAGGATGCGTAGGAGGTGAACACACAGGGATGTCACAGGAGATTAGTGATGTCCTCATGCCACTGGCCTCTCCCCTCCTTGGCCAAAATCAGTCATGCACCCAGGCTATCCGGGAGAGAAACCCTGGGATAACTCAGAACAACACGCGCTCCGTGAAGAAAACAACAGTCTCTGTGTTTTGGGTTGTCCCCATCTCTGTGACCCCACCCAAACCTCGGGGTCCAGCTAGGAGCTGCTAGAGCCAGCAGCCTTGGCCTGAGCCCTCCCCCCAATCCTCAGTGGCATCTGACCTCCTTTCTAAATCCCAGCCTTGCTTTGCTGGCTTTTCTATTTCCTGTGCCCCAGTCTCCAGTAATCACACGGACATCTGTCCACGGCTTCCCTTCATGCCCCGTCGCCGGGGAGCCGGCACCTTGGCTGCAGTCGGGGAGGGGGAAGAAGGCGCTGAGGCGAGGCCCGGGGGGACAAGACACACAAACACATCTGCACTGGCCATCTGCAGCGTAGTGCAGCCCAACTCTCGTTAGCACTGCAGAGAGGCCAGGCCTGTACAGGGCCTCTAAAGGTGAAGGAGCATTCAAGAGTGGGGCCAGTGGGGTCAAGGCAAGCTGAGCCCAGCTTCCAGCCGGGCTCCTGGGAGCGGGTCAGTAACTCCCAGGGGGCTGGCTAACCCCCTGCCCAGTGAGATCCTGTCACTGGCTTCCACTCGGGTGCTCCGGTGAGAGAGACAGGAGAATGGGGATGCTGCAAACATCTGATCAGCAGAAGGGCACTGCCCTTCCAGCCCCCGCTGCCCTTAGCATCAGACAATACCACTGCCATCGCTCTGCCCCGCCCCAGCCTCTCTGGCTGAGGATCCCAAAGCACCTTGCAAACATGAACAAATTCACGTTGCAGGCGGGCACCATTGTCCCCGTTTTACAGCTGGGGAAACTGAAGCGCAGAGACGCTCGGTCCTGAAGCCATGCAGCACATCAGTCAGGAAGAGAACACAGGAGTCCTGGCTCTCCTGCTCTAAGCATACAGCGCTGGCTCTCTCAAACACAGGCGGGGAATCCTTTGCATGTCCTAATGCAGTTGCTCCTCCCACCTCTCCCTTCAAAAGCCAGTAGGCATGAAATGATGGAGCAGGTGTTTGAAGTTCACACTCGTCCTCGGTGATGCGCTCTAGGATGTGCGACTAGAGCAACACAGAGAAAGAAACTCACGTAAAGCCCGGCGCGATACAACACACGCCAGGCATAGTTTGTTCACCCACCCTGTTCACTGCATGATATTTGTTCTGTGACATTAGTTCTAAGTGGTCATTCAAGCGACCGACAAAAACCCATTGCCCAATAGCTGGGCTTTACCCAAACTGAGGAATTCAAGCCCTGTCCACACTAGGAAATTGACTCACTGCTGAAGGCAGATGTCAGCAACAGGTCCCCCTAACCAGTGCTGGAAACACTGAAATTGCTCATTTGGACGGAACAAAACCCTCGCAGTACCATACCAGAACGTGTGACTGAGACTTGGTCTATGCAGCCAAGGGCCTGAGCTTCAGAGGCGCTGAGCATCCGCTGCTCCCGTGGGCTTCAGCTGTAGATGTGGGTGTTCGGCATATCTGAAAATCAGGCCCTACATTCCTGTGGGGAAAATGTCCTAAGTTCTCTCTCCAGCTCTCTGAAAGGAACGCCGCTGCATAGAGCCTGCGGGGTCCGTAGCATCCCACAGGAACGTCCAGGGACAGCCCCGTCAGCTTCCTGAGCACGAGGTGCTACCAGAGAGAATGCAGGCTGGGTTCACAGGAAGCCCCAGGCATGTCAGACTTTGGGAGCACAGGCAGTGCTGTGTGCATGCCCATGCAGTGCAGCCAGCATCGACGAGCTCACAATGGTTAGGTGCCGCACGGACGAGGTTCAGTGCCTTGGGAGGAGGAGCCCCGCGGAACCTCAGACACAAGACCTACCTCTGACTGCCTTGGTCTTTCTCCTTCCTCTCCCATCCTCCCAACCCCATGTCCCCACTCTCCCCTCATCTGTCCATCCACTGCCTCTCTTCACTTCGCCCATCCTTCCCATCTGATCGCCTCTCTCTTCTTCCCTCCCGACTGAGGGACAAAGTCGCTCTGTCTGGGCTCCCTTTCACTTCCCCAGTAGCCTCACAGCTCTGTCCCCTGAGGTCCACGCTTCACACTGGGAGACGGACCAGCTTCATGACCAGTCTTCCATGGACAATATTCCTCCTCACCACCCCACACACACACACCGAAAAACCCTGTGAAAGCAAATCTCTGGGCATGGGCGTGTCAGTCCTGTTGGCTTTGAGTGTGCTGTCTGCAGGGGGGTTCTGAGATGTAGTCCTACCTCGTGTGTTGGTGGCCATGTCTGCCACTTTCTGGAAGGCATCCAGGAAGGCGACTGCTGCCAGCACTGTAGTCCTGAGGCAGAAAGAGATGGATACGTAAGTCAGCTGGGAGTCCGAAGGACTAATGCAGTGCACCTTCTGCTGATCCCTACACACAGGAATGCCCACACACTCAAATCACAACGGGCCACCCCACCGTATCCTGTCTCCAGCAGTGGCTATTATCTGACGTTTCAAAAGAAGCATAAATAACATCCCTTAACAAGTTGTCCAGTATTGTACATAGAGGAAATGCCTTCCTGACCCCTGCTGTGATTGTTCTTTGCTCTGAAGCATGAGATTAGCTCATCCCTACCCTAGCCAGCACAGTAGCTACCTTTACTAACAGCCATGCCATTATGCAGCCCCAATCTTTGGCTCAATGTTCCGATGCATCAGTGAGTTCCACAGGTTGCTTGTCAAGAGAATGGGTGTGACCCTAGGCACCCCTGTATTCACATCCTACCCACAACTGCAGTAATATCTGAACAAAATACGCCTTGTGAGAGATCATATGAAAGCTAACAACATTGTGGTTATTAATATAACTGTAAAATGCATGTGTTAAGGTTATATGTGAAGTTATGGATTCCCTCTGTATGATATGATTAGACCATGTTTAAGATCAGCCAGCCTAGCCTCGGTAAAGGTGATAAACAGGTCAGTCCTAGACACAGGAATGGGGGTTTACCTCAGTTTACCTATTAGCAGTAAACAGAGCCCTCAAGCTAAACCAGCGCGGGTTGTCCTGCTCCTGAACTTCAGCGACAGGGAATTAATGGCTCCAGAGAGACCCAGGAGGCTGAATCCCTAGCAGGCCTTCCTGATTTGTAAGACAAAGGGCTAGTCTACACTAGAGTTGCTACATCGGTGCAGCTAACCAGAAAAGGGGGAGCTCCCGACCGCTGCCCACGCTGCCGGCGTCTGCACTGGTGGTGCCCATAGCATGCCAGCGACGTCTGACTCCCCTGCTGACGCTACAGCCTCACAGATCGCCGCTGGTTGGAGCCCTCTGCCGCCTCATCACCGACCCCCCAGCGAGGCTGGAACCCTACAATGGCAACAGCCTGCTCCAATCCCGGTCTCCAGCCCCCACACAGCCGGCCCCATGGCAAAGCCCCTCCCGGCCTCGCACCCAGGTCTCAAGCTGACAGGACGGGGGGCTAGATGCTACCTCACAGGCAACACCCAGACGGGTTACAGTTGATCAGAGAAACAGGCAACTTGCTGTGAGGGAGGGAGTTGGCACCGACACTGGCCAGGCCTGAGGTTGGTGTCACTGATACAGGATTTCAGGGTAGATCTCCAAAGGAATCAACTTTCAGGCCAATAAGTGATCAGGAAAAAAGGGCTCCATGGGCCTGGAGAGGTGGGGGGGGGGGGAGATCTTCTCTGCTAGAGAGGAGGGCAGACACCTGAAGATGGTCTGGCTCTTACATTGCCTGAGGACAGAATTTCCTGCGTTTGTAACAAACCTGTCCAGACTGTGACTGCTCCTTTAACTCCATTTCGAAGAGTAGCGCTTCCTGAGGGCGGACAGGGGAGGGGATTTTTCTATCAGACGTCGGAAGCCGAGTGGAAGACAAGGTGACAGAGCCCGAAGGTAATTAATAAGGCCTTCCATGGCCCTGTCCATTGGCAGATCTCAAAGCGTGTCACAAAGTTGGGTAAGCAGCATTACTACCCCCAAGTCACAGATGGGGAAACTGAGGCACTGAGTGGCCTGTGGCCTCAGTTTCAGATGGGCTGAGCACCCACAGCTACTATTGACTTCAGCTGACATTGGGGAGATCAGCACGTCTGAAAGTCAGTCCCTACGGCCCAGAGCCTCAAAGGTATTTAGCACACAATTCCCTGGGGATTCAAGGAACCCTTGGAGGAGCTGGTCTTAGGGATTTGCCCAAGGGCTCCTGAGGCCCAGTCCAGCAAGCCGTGCTGCCGCCCATGTCTGCAAACTGGGGTGCGCTGCGTGACTGTGGCAGGACCCGGAGGAGCCAACCAGGCCTGGCCCCAGGCTGGAGGCGCTGCAGAGGTGTGTCCTGGAGCAGCAAGACTGGCAGATCCAAGGGCTAACAGGAAACCTCCCACCTCAGCGTGAAACACAACACACACCCTGCCCCACACGCGGGCATCACAGCACCCTCGCAGCTAGTGCCATGGCCCGAGAGGAGCAGAACGCACAGAGGAAAGGGCCCCTGTCTGCCCGCGCTGCTTCCCCCTCACCAGTGCCTGAGAGCCTCACCTCAGCATGCCGGGGCGGGGATCGGCCAGCCCCGGGGGTAGTGGCCCCCCACCCTCAGCCACTCGAAAACCCGTGGGAGTGAGCCACGCTCTGGACGTGAGCTCCGGGGCCGAGCGGCGCGTGAGCAGTGAGAGGCGCCGCAGAGCGCAGAGGACGGGTCAGAGCGTCCTGAGCAGAGCAGGCAGGTGCACCAAGCGGGCAGAGGAGGGGAGCAGGCGAAGCCCAAGCAGCCAGGAATATCAAACGCTCCTTGACATGGACGGGAGGGCTGGGAACCACGGCCATGGGGCTAATAGCCTGGGGCTATTAATGGGGCGCTGAGGGAGGCCTGACTGGGAATTAGAGACCAGGAGCTAAATGCGCCCTTGGTATGGAACAAAGTGCGCCCAGGGGAGGGGCTGGGGCTCGAGGGAGATCGGAGGAGCCAGGCACCAGGTGTTCAGAGAGCACCCAAAGGGCTGGGCAGTTCTGGGTAACGGTTGCACTTGCCTGGCCCGGGCACTGGGAGAGCTGGCCGGGAGGGCACAGCCTGGGGCAGCAGGGAAATGACGCTTTAAGCCACCCTCGGGCCCTGGATGGGGGGCTGGGTGAGGGCCCAGCCGGCTGTCACTGCCTTGCTCTGTATCCTTGGCCAGCTCCCTTATCTTCTCTGCGCCTCTGTTTCGCCATCTGTCCCGGGAGGCTATTGAGACTGGCCCACCCTTGTGAAGCTCCTGGAGCTCTCGCTTCTGAAAGTCACTAGTTTAGTCTCTGAGTCGCACGCCCAGCACATGGGGGGTTGGAATGGCAAGTGCCTGGCTCCTGTTTGGACCCTCAAGCACCTTCCTCCTGCTGCCTGGTTTGTTGGGCTGCAGAGCCGCGGCCAGCCCCTGTGCTGGGGCTGGAGCTCGACTCCGCAGTGCCCCGGGGAGACTTTGCCAGCTCTCTTCTTACGTTCGTCACCCGAATTCCCTAGCAGCTGGCACTGGCCTGGCTGCAGAGCGAGCTGCCCTGCACTGCCTCCTTTCGTCAGCTTTGTGGGACAGCAAGGGCCTTCCCAGCGGCAGTCAAACCTCCCTGGGAGCCTGGTGCAGATCCTGGGACGACTCACCTGAGCTGGGAGTGCAGCTTAGTTGCCTTGGAGTTGAAATCTTCCCAGATGGGGTAGGAGCTCTGAAACAAGAGAAAGCAGAGAGCAATGAACCATCAGAGAGCTCTCAGATCACGGGATGCGTCCAGCGTCTCTCACACTGTTCCTCAGGGACGTCCCATACAACCCCAGGCACTTTTAAATGCACAGCTTCCTCCTGGGAAGGGAGGGCGCCTCCCCCAGCCAGCCTGGCCCCGGCGCGGCTGCTCCTCGCTCACACACCAGCCTAGCCATGCAGAGTGATACGAGAGAGACGCTCGTCTGGCCCCCAATCCCATAGGAGGAGAGCTGCTCACCCACCCCTGGGAGCAGGGCAGGGCAGGGCTGTTCTCCCATGGGAACCGAGGCACAGAGAGACCGAGTGACTTGCCCCTGGTCACACGGGAAATCTGTGGCAGTGCAAGGAACTGAAGTCAGGCCTCACAAGGCCAAGGCTCTTGCCCTGACCACTAGCACCCCGTCAGGGCAGAGAGCTGACCTCCCATCAGGTATGTGGCTCACAGGATTCGTTCCCAAGGGGCCCCCCAGGCTGCCCTCTCGTTAGCCGGACAGCAAGCTAGATTTGTGGTGGAGACTGGAATCTGGGGCTGTTTCCCTTCCCCACCCCCGTTCAGAATCCCAGGGTCTCCACTGTGCAGTGGAACCCCCTATCACTGGTGGTCCTGTCACCCCAGAACCATCCCACTGCACTCCTCGGAGTTACCCCCGGGGGGAGATTTACCCCAGAATTGGATTTCACAACGAGCCCCGGCTCCTGGGTGCTGCAGAGCTAATACAAGCTCAGGATTTCTGCGCAGCCCCCTGAGGCCAAAGAACCCAACAGACCATACAGGAGAGCGCAGGGGCTGCTTGATGGTAGCCAAGGGCAGGGATGCAGGAGACAGGGCCTGAGACTGGAATGAGCCATGAATTTCCACTCAGGAAGGGTCGATCCCTTTGTCACACCCACAGCAGAAATTCAATCAGCCTCTGCCTCTCCCCCGCCCCAGCGAGCCGCCAGTGTGGGGAGAAAGCGGACAGCGGGAGCAGTGAGTTACCAGTGGGGAATCCCAGACCTCCTAAGAGCAAAGCCCCCTCCTCTGGCTGCAGCTGGCCCGTGTGGGGCGGGGCTTGGAGTGCAGGGAGCCAAGGGGGGGGAGGGATAGCTCAATGGTTTGAGCATTGGCCTGCTAAACCCAGGGTTGTGAGTTCAATCCTTGAGGGGGCCATTTAGGGATCTGGGGCAAAAATCTGACTGGGGATTGGTCCTGCCTTGAGCAAGGGGGGTGGACTAGATGACCTCCTGAGGTCCCTTCCAACCCTGATATTCTATGAAGAGGGGCTGGGTGTTTTAAAACAACTCACACAAGCAGAGGCATTAGCGCAGAACAAACCTGCACCGGCTGATTAACGCTGCAGTCAGATTACAGCACCCTAAGCACAGGGAGAGCAGGGGGGAAACATCTCCCCAGCCCACTAACATTTTCCTCATCATGAATCAGCAGGAAAAGGCGAAATCGCAAACATTTTTGGAAACTGAAAATCCCGCACCACCACCACCACCACCACCACTCCCCCCTCCCCCTGACCTCACACAAAAGATTTTTTTAATTCTGGTCAACTGAAACATTTTGCTTCAGTTATGACTATTTTAAAAAGCGATTTTTACTCCCATTCACTTATGTTTTGACATGAAAAGTCATTGTGAACTGGAAACCAGTTCTGAATGGGTCCAAAGGAAACTTGGTTCCAAGTTGAGAGCTTTGGCCAAACCGACCCTTTCCCGCAAAACGGTTCACTGTCTATGTGACGTTCCCCTGGTGTTATCTGGACTGGTGATCTGCTAGGTCACCCCAATCCTTGACTCTGGGAGCCAGTCTTACTCTGCTGTGCTGTGAGAACCCCCACTCCTGGGCTGGTCACACACAGCCTCTGGCATGTAAGCTGCTCCCAGCTACGTGAGTGAGCACTTTTGGCCAGCCACTGCTTGGCTTGTGCAACTGAATGCCACTAGCCAATATCTCCGGTCCCGGACACAGTCCTAGGAATCCTAGTCCAGTTATGCCCGCTGGACGCTGCAAGCTTATATGAGTTCATCAATTTAACAGAGAAATTGATATGTACCAGGCTTGTTATCCCAAGGGGAGTTTCTGACACGCTTCAAATCAAACATACTGCTTCAGGTAGAACAAACCCACAAATTTATTAACTATAAAGATAGAGTTTAAGTGATTATAAGTCAAAGCATAACAAGTCTGATTTGGGCAAATGAAATAAAAGCAAAATGCATTCTAAGCTGATCTTAACACTTTCATTGCCCTTACAAACTTAGATGCTTCTCACCACAGGCTGGCTGGTTGTCCTTCAGCCAGGCTCTCCCCTTTGATCAGCGCTTCAGTCGCTTGGTGGTGATGTCTGTAGATGGAGGTGGAAGAGAGAGGAAGAGCATGGCAAACGTCTCGCCCTTTTATCATGTTCTTTCCTCCCTCTTGGCTTTGCCCCCCCCCCGGGTCAGGTGAGCATTACCTCATCGCAGTCCCAAACTGACCAAGGGAAGGGGGGGGGTGACTCCCTCGAGAGTCCAACAGATCCTTTGTTGCTGTCTAGGCCAGTGTCCTTTGTTCCTGTGAGGCTGGGCTGGGTTTGTCCCATACATGCCCTGATGAGGTGTGAACTGCCCCTCTGCTCCTGGAGAGTTTTGCCTGGGCTTGTTTTAAGCCACGAGGACACATTTTCAGCCTCATAACTACATACATGAAATTACAACCTATAACATCACTATAACAACAATGCTCAGTGCATCATGAGCCTTCCGAAGACACCGACATGACAAACTTTGCATTGGATGCCACACAATCATTTTACAAGGATGAACATGGGGGTGCAGGATGTTCCCCCGAGGTACAGAGCGCCACAGTTCACAAACGGGTGCTCTCAATGAAACGGAATTTTTGTTGAACACTTTCCCAGGCTCACAATCCATGGGACCGCACTGCCTCTCCCGTGCTGAGCATGCACAGCTCCCATTGCAATCATCGGACACTGTGGGGGCTCCGTTCCTCTGAGAGCCAGGCCAGACCAGACACCACAGGGAGAGGCAGGGCTGGGACAGCGAATGGCTCAGGTGCTGCAATGGGCTATGGAGTCTTTTGTCTCTAGGTCACCGAGTCCAATCTGGCCCACGTCAATTCCAATGGGCCGGCTCTCTCCTGGCCTATCACCTCTGTGCCTGGAGCCTGTCTGTTGGGATGTACCGATTCCCTGCTCGGGACCGGTAATGCAAACCATTCTAGCTGGCCCAGTCCCGGCCAATCTCCAGCTTCTGCAGTCAGGAACGAGGGGTAGGTGCGTTCCCAGAAGGCCTGATCCTGGGGCCCCATGGGGCTCCTCCTGCAGCAGAATGCCTCAGCATGAGCCGTGGATCAGAGTGTGGCCGAGAACATAAGCAAGGAGCAGACCTGGCACCAGGCCGGCAGGGGCATCTCCTGGGAACAGGCCAGGGCACAAGGAGAGACTGTGCTCATCCCTTGGCCCCAGGCCCATGACCCAGGTAAGGGTTACAGCCACGGATGGACACAACGAAAAACCCAAGGAAGACTGGGGTGGTGGGAGGCTCGTTTCCTTGCCTTCAACTCAGCCGCTCAGCAGTTCCAGCCTGAGCCATAGACAGCAACGCGCCGTGCACAGCTGGCAGGTCAGCATGGGACAGAGGTGCTCTTGGCTCTGCGTGAGGGTGACCAGGTGTCCGCTTTGGGGCTGGAACGCCCGGTTGAAAAGGAATCCTGACGGCTCGGTCAGCACCGCTGGCTGGGCTGCTGAATGTCCGGATCGCGGGGCCACAGCAGGGGAGCCAAGCTGCCTTCTAGCGCCACGCCATGGCCCGTGCAGCTCCCAGGTCCGGAAGCAGCTGGCACGTCTGGCTCCCAGCCTTAGGGGCTGCCGGGGGGGTCGGCGCAGCTCCCAGTGGCTGGGTCAGGGCAGGGGAGGAACTAGCACCACTCGCGCGCGTTCAGCAGACGGCTGTTGATAGGGGTCGTGTGGAGCACACGTCTCCCGCTGCTGCCCGGCCTCTTCTCATGTGGCTGGGCTCGAGCTGCGGCACGCGCCCTGCTGCGAACCACAGTCTGTCACCCCATCGCCGGCACCCAGGAGTTGGAGACAGAGATACACGTACCTCCGAGTGCTGGGAATAGCAGCTGCACCCCCATCCCCCTCACTGCATCCCTCTCCACCCCAACCCCCCCCATGCCCCATCCCCGTCACTGCATCCCTCCCCGTCCCAACCCCTCCCCCTGCGCCCCATCCCCCTCACTGCATCCCTCTCCACCCCAACCCCCCCATGCCCCATCCCTGCATCCCTCCCCGTCCCAACCCCTCCCCCCGCACCCTCATCCCCCTCACTGCATCCCTCTCCACTCCAACCCCCCGCCCCCATCCTCCTCACTGCATCCCTCTCCATCCCAACCCCCTCACTGCATCCCTCCCCATCCCTCCCCCATCCATCCTGCTCCCCACACCTACCCATCCCAGCCCTATAATCCTTACAGCACTCGCCCACCCATCCTCTCCACCCCCATGTTCCTTACCCCCTGCACCCCATTCACCTCCATACACTGCTGCACTCCCATTATGTCCCTATACACCCCTGTGCCCCCCACATCCTCATGCACCTGCAGCCTTCTGCTTCCCCCTGCATCCCCATCCTCCCCACATACCCCCCAAGTCCCCTCCTCGCTCCTTCACTGCCCCCTCTCACCCCCACCCTGCTCTCGTTCTTGGCCTCTTTCCCTCCCATCCTCTCTCCTCCACACCCATCCCCACCCCTCTTTTCCCCTCCAGCCCACCCTCCTCCCTTCCCAGCTGGGTAATTTAGGCGGCCCCTGGAAAAGTCTCTCTGTGTAGGCAAGTGTGTGCATGGATGCATTGCGTGTAGGGACGTGCGTGTATTGCTGCAGGTGTGGATACCTGTGTGAATAGAATTTGCAGCCTAACTCTGACTTTTATTCCTTTTGCTGGCTTGCGCTCAAAAAAACCGATGACATAA